TTGCTTTAAAAAATGATAAGCAGTTTAAGAAATGCTGCAGGAACTAACTTGAAGCTATACTAGTGTACTTGGAAGTGAAAGGCGCTGCGATAGAAGCGTCCCCCAATCTTGTGACAGTAGCTCTTTCTTCCTCCTCAAGTTCCTTCATAAGCTTTTCCAACTTGCTTTGAGTACTAGCGATGGAAGGATGAGTGCTTCTGCAAATAAAATACTTCCGAATCTAATCATTATCTAGCATGCATTATGTCAAGAAGTTCTTCTAAATGGATGACGGAGGCGGAGAGTCAAAAAAAGCTCCACTAATGATTGAGGGGCTGATATACTAATGATAGCAATGTATGAAGACGAAGTAGGAAAATTAATTACTGATGAGACAATAAAAAATAAAAAAAAAAGAAAGGAGCAAAAAGGAATGTTTGGAGAGAAAATAATGTGATACTTAGGGAAGAGGATCGGGTCAGACAATCCTGCAATGAAAGGAATTGGCACTGTTCTGAGTGCAATTGTACAACAACTAAAAGATATGAATTAACGAAATATTCCAACTGAATCTAAGGCCTTAATCAAACAGCTAGCAAGCATAAGATAAGTGAAAATTTTAGGGAGTGTATTGAAGGCTGCCAGCTCATACTTATTTAGTTTACTTGAAAAGCAAAGTTATGTTAAGAGCTTGACGAGAAGAAGTTATAGCTGATACCTCATTCTAGCTCCTATAGGAGCATCTCCGCGCCGAACAGCGGAGCTCGGTATTCCTGGTGGAGTAGGATTGTTAAGATGCATCAAGCGGCGTGCCTCTTCAATTTTCTCCTTCTTCTCTTTTTCCCTCTGCTCCGCCTTAGTCGCATCGTACGGATGCGACAAGAGAGCAACACCTGCAAATTCTTGCATGTAAAATGAGACAACAGGTAAAAGGGACATATATAATAATACAATAAACAGTGCAAATCCTTACCAACATTCGAGTGTTTCAGGGCACCAACATCATTTGTTCCATCACCACACATCAGAGTGACGTACCCAAGCGACTTATACTCGTTAATCACTCGTTCCTGAGCCAATATTACAAACTACTCCAAAATGAACTAGCAAAGTGGACATGCATACACCCTGCCGTTAAATGTCAATTAAAGGCTCTAGCAAATGATAATTTGTGATAATCCTACAGAGAAAAAATATAACAAAGGCCTTAGGAAGGAATAAATAGAAAAAATCACCTTTTGTTTGGGTGCCATTCTAGCAAATACTCTTACGTGTGTGATGAGCTTGTCCAAAAACTTCCGATTATTTTCCAATAGGTAAGCAAAAGCCTAGAGAAGAATTGAAAATAAGGTGAAGACAAACTCACAAATTCGGTTATAATGAATTACCGGGCCTGTCAGACAAAATTCGTTTTCAGAAAAGAACTTCCTCAACTGTTGATTGTTGTCGAAAGGAACAGCATCAAATTCAACAGATTCATCTACGGCCTAGAAGATTAATAAACATCGAATACTGC